CCAAAAGCAAGCAGGAGTTAGCTATTCCACCCCTTTACCTCAGTTTATGTGAGTCTTTATGTGTCAGGTGGGTCTCTTGAAGATAGAATATACTTGGTTGATGAAGTTGTATCCATTCTACCATTTCGTATCTTTTAGGTGGAGCATTTAGGCCATTTAAATTCAATGTTAGTATTGAGATGTGAGGTACTATTCTATTCATTGTACTATTTGTTGCCTGAATACCTTACTGGTTTTTTTTTTTTCATTGTGTTACAGTGAAAAATTATAGGTCCTGTGAGATTTATGCTTTAAGGATATCCTATTTTGATGATTTCGAGTATTTACGATTTAGAGCTCCTCTTTTAGCAGTTCTTTTTTTTTTTCTGAGATGGAGTCTTGCTCAGTTGCCCAGGCTGGAGTGCAGTGGCACGATCTCGGCTCACTGCAAGCTCCGCCTCCTGGGTTCACATGATTCTCCTGCCTCAGCCTCCCAAGTAGCTGGGACTACAGGTGTCTGCCACCACACCCGGCTAATTTTTTTTTTGTATTTTTAGTAGAGACCAGGTTTCACCATGTTAGCCAGGATGGTCTCAATCTCCTGACCTCGTGATCCACCTGCCTCAGTCTCCCAAAGTGCTGGGATTACAGGTGTGAGCCACTGCGCCCAGCCTTTAGTAGTTCTTTTAGTGCTGGCTTGGTAGTGGCAAATTCTCTCAGCATTTGTTTGTCTGAAGAAGACTGTATGTTTCCTTCATTTATGAAGCTTAATTTTGCTGGATACAAAATTCTTGGCTGATAATTGCTTTGTTTAAGGAAGTTAAATATAGAACCCCAGTCCCTTTTAGCTTGTAGGGTTTCTGCTGAGAAATCTGCTATTAATCTGATAGGTTTTCTTTCATAGGTTACCTGATGCTTTTGCCTCATAGATCCTAAGAGTCTTTCCTTTTTCTTGACTTTAGATAACCTGATGACTGTGTGCCCAGGCAATGATCTTTTTGTGATGAATTTCCCAGGTGTTCTTTGAATTTCTTGTATTTGGATGTCTAGATCTCTAGCAGAGCTGAGAAAGTTTTCTTCAGTTATTCCCTCAGATATGTTTTCCAAACTTTTAGGTTTCTCTTCTTCCTCAGGAACACCAATTATTCTTAGGTTTGGTGATTTAACATAATCCCAAACTTCTTGGAGGTTTTGATCATTTTTTTAAAATTCCTTTTTGTCTTTGTCAGATTGGGTTAATTTGAAAGCCTTGTCTTTGAGCTGTGAAGTTCCTTTCTTCCACTTGTTCAGTTCTGTTGCTGAGATCTTCCAATGCATTTTGCATTTCTCTAAGTGTGTTCTTCATTTCTAGAAGTTGTGCTTTTTGTTTTGTTTTGAGATGGAGATTCACTCTTGTCACCAAGGCTGGAGTGCAATCGCAAAATCTTGGCTACCTGCAACCTCTGCCTCCCAGGTTCAAGCGATTCTCCTATCTCAGCCTCCTGAGTAGCTGGAATTACAGGTGTCTGCCACCACACCTGGCTAATTTTTGTATTTTTAGTAGAGACAGGGTTCACCACATTGGCCAGGCTGGTTTTGAACTCCTGACCTCAGGTGATCCACCTGCCTCAGCCTCCCAAACTGCTGGGATTGCAGGTGTGAGCCACCATGCCCAGCCATGATTGTTTTTTACTTACGCTGTTTCACTGGAGATTTTTCCATTCTTATCCTATATCTTTTTTTTTTCCTTTGAGAAGGAGTCTTGCTCTGTCACCCAGGCTGGAGTGCAGTGGCACAATCTCGGCTCACTGCAACCTCCGCCTCCCCAGATTTAAGCAATTCTCCTGCCTCAGCCTCCCCAGTAGCTGGGACTACAGGTGCCCACCACCATGCCCAGCTAATTTTTGTATTTTTAGTAGAGACAGGGTTTTGCCATGTTGGCCAGGCTGGTCTTGATCTCCTGACCTCAAGTGATCCACCTGCCTTGGCCTCCTAAAGTGTTGGGATTACAGGTGTGAGCCACCACACCCGGCCCTTTATCATTTTTTATATTTCTTTAAGTTAGACTTCATCTCTTTCTCTGGTGCCTCCTTGATTGACTTAATAGTTGATCTTCTGAATTCTTCTTTCTGGCAATTCAGAGATTTTATCTTGGTTTGGATCCACTGTTGGTGAGCTAGTGTGATCTTTTGGGGTGTTAAAAAACCTTGTTTTGTCATATTATCAGAATTGTTTTTCTGGTTCCTTCTCATTTGGGTAGAGTATGTGAGGGAAGATCTAGGACTCAAGGGCTGCTGTTCAGATTCTTTTGTACCACGGGTTGCTCCTTTGATGTGATGCTCTCCCCTTTTCCCTAAGGATGGTGCGTCCTGAGAGCCAAACTGCAGTGATTGTTATTTCTCTTCTAGATCTAGTCACCCAGCAGAGCTACTGGGCTCTGGGCTGATGCTGGGGAGTGTCTGCAAAAAGTCCTGAGATGTGATTCATCTTCAGGTCTTTCAGCCATGGATACCAGCACCTGCTCAAGTGGAGGTAACAGGAGAGCGAAGTGGACCCTGTGAGAGTCCTTGGTTGTATTTTTGTTAAGTGCCCTGGTTTTGTGTTGGTTGGCCTTTACTTTCTGTAAAGTTTCCCCATAAAACACTGACCAGTTTAACTTCAGTTGCTTTCTGAGTCTGAGCCACTGCCTGACAGGAGTGAGAATTTATTCTCTGATCTCACCAGCAGGGTGCAGTAGGGAGAAAAGTTGCCCTATAATTTCTTGGAGTACAGAACACATATAGATATGGTTTGGTTCTGTACCACTGCTTACCTTTCAGGGCTCCTGTGGTTTGAGTAAGCTTCGGGGGCACAAACTAAAAGTTAACACCAAGAGTATTGCTTGCATGGGTAAATATTACTAAAAGTCAACATACAAGTGAACTTCTAGAGCGTATTTTTTATTTGGGAACTACCTGAAATACACAGAAAACTATGCCACCACTTTAACAATCCAAGGACTTCAAATGTTTTCTAAAATCCTATCTACCCAAGTATCCCCAAAACATGCAAACTTTGATCTGAATTTCCTAACGTTTCCTCATTTTTCGTTTATGTTTGTTTTTTTGAGACAGAGTCTTACTCTGTTGCCCAGGCTGGAGTGCAGAGGCAAGATCTCAGCTCACTGCAACCTCTGCCTCCCAGGTTCAAGCAATTCTCCTGCCTCCACCTCCCTGAGTAGCTGGGATTACAGACACGTGCCACCATGCCCAGCTAAGTTTTGTATTTTTAGTAGAGATGGGGTTTCACCATGTTGGCCAGGCTGGTCTCTAACTCCCGACATCGTGATCCACCCGCCTCGGCCTTGGCCTCCCAAAGTGCTGGGATTATAGGGGTGAGCCACCACGACCGGCTGTCCTCATTTTTCTATAAATAATTTTAGATAGTAGGGTAAATGGAGCTCTTATCTACAGGAATTTGAAAAGCTCATATTGAGAAATGTTTTCCCAGGCAAATTTCTAATGCAGCTATTCCTCTACTTTTGAAATGTCTATCCCTCAGCTCAAAAGAAAGCCCCCTGCAATTTAGATTCTTAAAAAAAAAAAATTAAACCGGAAAGGGATAGTTTTAGCTTGTTCCACATGAAATCTTGCTGATAAGCAAGCTCAACTACATTTCCACCCAAAAGAGTTCCTTTAAAAAGTCTGACTTACAGCCAGGCACAGTGGCTCATGCCTGTAATCCCAACACTGTGGGAGGCCGAGGCAGGTGGATCCCCTGAGATCAGGAGTTTGAGACGAGCCTGGCCAACATGGTGAAACCCCATCTCTACTAAAAATACAAAATTAGCCGAGCGTAATGGTGCACATCTGTAATCCCAGCTACTTGGGAGGCCAAGGCAGGAGAATCGCTTGAACCCGGAAGGCAGAGGTTGCAGTGAGCCAAGATCGTGCCATTGCACTCCAGCCTGGGCCACGGAGCAAAACTCCGTCTCCAAAAAAAACCAAAAAACAAAAAAAAGTCTTACTTACAATAGTAATTCCTGTTTCCATTTGTTCATGCGAATCTCAAACAATAAACCTGCTCTTGTCAAGTTGCAGCTAATCTCCAGTTTATTTTACTGTACATAGTTGTATATTTAAATTTTCTTAATATTGTGAACATTAACATCTCAACCCATCTGAAATGACTACTGTCTTCTGATGGTGAGAGCTTCACAGAAAAGCTGGCCACGTCATGCTGCCACCACTCAGCCCCACACCACCACAGTCTCCTCCCTCCTGGGTTTCTGACTAGACAGTGCTTTCTGGACTTTTCTAAGGAAGCACAGGCCCAGCTTCTAATTCGGCCAAAGGGTTTTAAAGACTAAATTCTAGCATTTTCTGAATGCTTCATAGATGTTCCAGAAGACATTAATAATAAATGACTACAATAAGCATTCCAAATGATATTCTAAAATGAGTACTTTCTGGCCGGACACAGTGACTCACACCTATAATCCCAGCACTTTGGGAGGCCGAGGCAGACAGATCACTTGAGGTCAGGTGTTGGAGACCAGCCTGGCCAACATGGTGAAACCCCGTCTCCATTAAAAATACAACAATTAGCCCGGCATAGTGGTGCATGCCTGTAATCCCAGCTACTCAGGGGCTGAGGCAGGAGAATGGCTCGAACCCAGGAGGCAGAGGTTGCAGTGAGCCGAGATTGTGCCACTGCACTGTAGCCTGGGCAACAGAGCAAGGCTCCATCTCAAAAATAAAAAATAAAAAATAAAATGAGTACTTTCTGTGCTCAAAACTATCAGCTAAACTATTTCATCAAAAGACCCCACTAATCAGGAAAACTGATGCCAAAGATACCAAAATTGATCAGTGGAAAACACTGGTTTATAACTCGACACTTTGTAGAAGTGCACATTTTGATAATTTGTATTAAAGACACTAAGATACATGAAGCACTGTGTAAGTTTGGCAGACATTAATATACTAATTTCAGAGGCGGTAAACCTATGAACCCTCAATGTTCTAGTTTGCTCTTGAAAATCACACTATTTCAAAGCTTAGTAATGTGGATAGATTTTTATTCAGAAATCCTTTCATATTCACTAACTGCAATTAAATGTTTAAAATTACATGGCTCTTAGGAACGATGTCAAACATGCAACATTTTAAGAGTGATAGATTTAAACAGTAATTTTGCCCTCAGAAGTTTACTTATCAAATTATTACAACAGAAACACAAATAGACCATATATTACTCTTTAATTAGATGTGTTTTACAATATGTTCTTGTCAATGAGCTACGTCAAACTGTTTAAACCTGATAGAAAAGCATTTTCACAAAAACGTACCATGGAGAGGGAGGGGGAAGGGAAGAAGCACTTTTTCTAGAGATGGGAAATAGTCCCAGTAAAAAATTCTTACTCCTTTTTTCTAAGGAGCTCGTTCTGAATATTTTCACTTAGTTCTATTGTTCTTTAAACAGGACTTTAAAAAGAATTTTGTATTTACAAAATTTACATTTTGTTGCTACAAAATGTAATTTACGTTGTAAAATAAAAATGTAAAATTTTAATTTTGTTCCTACATGAGAAGTGTGCATACTTTCAATTAGTTTTCATTAATATCTTCTGAGTTTCCTCTTAGGTGGTTGGTTTCTGAGTAAGGCAGAGTTAGGCTGGTGCACACACTATTTAGGAAGTCCTGTCTCCTGGCTGACAACATACTTGTAGTGCTCAAAGAAGTGAGTTAAGGAGTGATATGGGAATCAAAATGATGCCTAGAATAGTGTAATTTAGGAAACAGCCCTAGATTTGATATTTTGGAAGCTTTTCATTTTAAGAAGAGACCCCAAAAAGAAGGAAAAAGGAAAGGGTTCCTCCACTAAATATTCCATTCATCCGTACCTACTCAACGGTCATTCTGACGAGGCCATCTTAATCTGGGCCAGTGATGACACACTCCCCCTGTAACTCAGCCTGGTTCTGTCTATTGGGATGTGCCTAAACGTGATGGGTGAGGGGGCACTAAACAGCTAACACTGACCAGGGAATTAAGGAGCTAAAATGCAAGTACCTCTTGAATACCATAGCAATCTCTGTGCACAAATTTGGACTGTACTTTGTGGGAGAAGAGGTGAAAACTATTATTAACTATTCCCTTCCTTCAACCAAAAGGAAAAATACGCCTTTTCAAGGCTTCTTTTAATGATACTATAATGCTGAATTTATTTATGAAAAAGAAACAATACAGGTTTAGGTGGGAAAACCCCCAAGGAAACAGAGTAAGTCACGGGCTGTGAGAGGACTTGAATTCCCTGGGGACAGTGCTGTGGGGTCAGCCCCCATACTCCAAGCCCCTGCTCTCCATCCCAGCACCTCAGTCTGAGTACAGATAATACTGCATTTTTGTAAAGACGAAGGCATCCTGCATTTACCATCACACTCCCCCACTCTTGTCCTAGTCATCTTACATACTTAGTCCTTAATCTCTCCCAAAACACTTCTCAGTGCCCATTGTTATTGTGCCATCTACAAAACAACACATACATTAAAACTGAGATATGTTTTTAACAAAAAAAGTGCTTAAAACCACCCTAGGCAATTGTTTTTCACTTCATTTTCAACCAATAAAATCAAATTCATTTAGATTTATGAGTAATACTGAAAAAATAATGTTTATTCTCTTACATTTTAAATAATGTGCCTTCATCCCAACTTTACATTAACTGACTCATTTCAGTATCTAAATGAGTTGAGCTCTCATTTGAAAAATAGAGAAGATACAACTATATAGAATTTTTAGGATAAAAAATGTTCTGGATAGAAAAATCCTTTTGATGTTTCAAAATAACACTTATAGATTCTCAGTATAGTTTTCAGTTTGGTAACTAAACCATTAAGTAACCAAGGTTTTCAAAAAATTACAAAAGATAATAACATGATTTTTAAATACAAAGTTATATAGGAGCCACTCATATCTGTGGATCATCCCTACACAAAGTTGTTTCTCACTAGAAAATCCCTAAATATTTGTCATAAAATAAAACTCCATTATCAAAAATTAGTTTAAGATAGAAATCTATGCGCTTTAATGATTGCCAGAATTGCCCAGCATAGCTTCAGTAAAATAGAGCATTGTCTAGAAAATACAATCTCCAAAATGTGTGCAAGTACTGCAAACCGGACAGACCAGGGCAGGGCAAGGCCCTTGAAACCAAGTCCTCCTTGAGCACCTTTCCCAGGTTAGAAACCCGTCTTCAGCTTGTGCTTCGCACATTTCCTTCAGTGCGCCGCCATTCAGACTGCACCATTTATGTCCCAGTGCCACGCTGCGTGGATCAAGTGTCAAGGGGGGAAAGTATGAGTTAGGCAAGCGCTTTTTTTTAAAGCTGTAAACGCTTCACGTGACTGGCCCCGTAAGGAATCTGGGAGCTTAGATGAGCCTGGAGCTTTTCAGGAACTGGATGAGAACTCTGTACACAAACGTGTACTGGCAGAGAGTCTGCACCAGCATCATTCTCTGTTGCCTCAGCATGTCCAGTACTCTCGGGATGTCCAGTACCTAGGTTGAGAGAAATGGTAATGAAGATAATGCGTTCCCCTTGGGGGAGAGAAAGGATGGGAAGACACTAGTGTCCTGGCAGAAACCTGGTTAGGAGATGCACACAGTCTCTTTTCTACCTTAGCATCTTTTAGAATAAGCCATGATGGCCTACTTCTGATTTTCGGATTAGTTTTAACTATAAATAGAATGTCCATGCAGACTATTTCGTGAACATTCCCTGGGTATAGCTCACTGACTCTGTATGGTTGGACATAATTACCATATCTCACTAAATACCAAGATTCTACAAAAACATAGTGTGCTCTCAATATCTATTTCCCTCAAGGGCTCTGGGCAGCATGAATCATCCTTGAAATGTAAACAGAAAAAAAGAGTTCTGAGCTCAAATTTGAAAAACCTTGAGCAAGTAAAACAAAATTAAACAGCTTTATTTATCATATGACTTCTCAGTCTTTAATATGCTAATTGGTACTGAGACTCTCCAAGAAGACACAGCCTTTTGCAGGGAACATTAGTGACATCTTGAGGCCACCAGAGTCCAAGGAAATGTGCGCAAAAAGAGCTATTAGGTCACTACGTCCCTATCTTCCCCAGCCTTATTTCCACCCAAAAAGGCCAGGCAATCGTAAGCGCCATCACCTCATTGTGTTCCAGGCAGGCGATCATGATCTCCGACAAAATAACCACGCCAGTCCTTCCTACCCCAGCACTGCAGTGGACCAGCAACGGAGGGTTTGGGCTTTGGGGATCACTTGTGCTATTTGTATGGCGTCGAACAGACTGGATCTCTTCAAGATACGCTGTGGAAAATCAATGAAATAGAAAAATACTCAAGGATCAAGGCATATCACATTGACGACTCAATCTTCATATTCTCCCCACTGATTAAGAGGACTGCAAACAAAGAGCACTGGGTACCAGTGAACCAAACCCAACCACCGAGGGACAGTGTGACCCTGAGCAAGTCACTACCTCTGCCCACTTTCTGGTCTACAAAATGAAATGGGGGAGACACTGAGTCAGTTGTGGCATTCTACTCACTACCAAATCATAATTTATAAACCTCTTGTTAACCCTCCCCAAAACACTTGTATTCTTTATGTTAAAACAAGTCCGAAGCTTATATGAGAGAACATAAAGGAAATATTTCAGAAACATAAATGTTCCTCTCTGTTTAACAGCTCCAGAGGCAGCTGTCCTGGGAACAAACTTAAAAGTCACTCACATAAAAATCCCTTGAGGTCTTCTGGACAGCCATGCTCAGGCCAGTCTGTGTATTGGAGGTGCCAGACGGTCCTCTCTTGCCCAGTAAGGAGGTGCTTCATCTTCAGGCCCGTGGTGGCATAGCAGCCAGAGTCTGTGCGGAAGCGGGTCGTGATCTTAAACCTTCCATAGGTGACAGTGTTGTGCCTGGAACCAAGTCGTGGCCAATACCTAAAGCTCTTCTCCCTTCCACCCTCCTGTTAAAGATGAGCACGGTTAAATGACTCGAGATCCGACAATGGATGCCCTTCTCACACAGATGGCACATCTGAAACAGAACCACAACCCTACCCTGCCTTTTTCTCCACAGGTCAGGATTCTAGATGATTAACATTAACTGTTCTTCAGAGGCTGAGAAAATCACTTAAGAGAAATGAATACCTACCTCTTCTGCTGTCACCATTGCTATAATTGCAATTCCCTGTTCCCATACCATCTGCCAAAAATCTTGACAGGTATTCTGTAATGGTCCCTGTGTGGCAATATAATCCCATTCAATTCCACTGACAGAGACCTGGGATTAGAAAAGGTTAAAAAAATTGACATGTGTGTATAATATACATAGGTATGTATGCATACATTCATGGTAGTACTAAAAAAGTTGTTTAAAAAAGTAAAAAAGTAGTAAACTGGATTATTCAGCAGAATAAGGAAAGACTTTTCATCTTTTCCCTTGTGAATACAATTTGCATTACTGACATTTTTATAAACGTAGGTACTGTGAATATACATAATATCTATGCAACCTGCTTAACCTTGCTGAATCTCAGTTCTCATTTATAAAATAAAAATACTGCCTACCCTCATAGGGTCGTTGTGAGGACTGAGTCAGTATCTATGGTACCTGGTATATAACTCAATAAGTAGCTATTATTACAGCCATGGTTCCTCTTCTTTAAAAAAAAAAAAAAAAAACTTCCTACTTAAGATAGTCTCACCTCTGAACTTCTGAGTCAAGGTCACTCTCCACAATAATATTAAGTTTCCACTTAAGATTTAACTTCCTTGAGAGCAGTCTAATACAACAGTAATTACTAGATTTGTAGTTAAGAGACCTGGGTTAAATCTTGGCTTCACCAATGTTGAGTGACGACAATAACTGTCTCCAGACGCTCACTAAATGTAAAACCCAGTGCCAAGCCTTGTGTCACATGCACTCTCACTCAGGGCTGCCAGTCCCCTAGTCACTGCTCCACATCATCTCACCAAGCACCCAGTGGCTGCCACTGTGGATGAGTAGCAGATTGTAACAGTGAATAAGTACTAGGGAGGAGGAAGGGCTAGTGAGAAGCCGGCAGGGTAGGTGTCATCATTTATTTATTTCCATATAACTGAGATGAGGTCCCACAACACAGCTTATAAAGTGAGGTCCCACCTCATTTTAGATCTAGGAGTCAGACCCAGGTATCAAATTCTTTCCTCTATTCTGCAAGTGGCTGCTGAAGATTTTGAAATATCACTACAGAACTACAGTATCATTCATTCTTATCCATCTAGTCATAAGAGACTGGATGAGTTATTTCAAAGAAATGCTTGATTTTTAAGTAAAGTATGCTGATCTTATATTTAAAAATAAAGGAGTATGTGCATAGGTTCCCAAAAGCCATCAAGGGGTCCTGGCATTCACAGGCAGACTTCCAGTCTCCAGAAAGCCTTGGTGTCAGCTTGTTCCCTTCTCAAATAATACTTGCAAACTAAAGAAAAAAAAGCACCACCTGTCCACACTTACTCCTTCACTCACCATGAGATTTCTCCTTCCCAAAATAAAGAATTGAATGTGGCCAGCATGAACAAAGGGTACAATGAGGAAGAAGGAACATCTGGCTTTATTCCATCATGTGTTGTGAATCATCATTTTGTCCATTTTCATGGCAGTGATATTACCCCAGATAAGGTGCCAAGAACATACATTGGGGAAGGACAGTCTCTTAAATACATGGGTGGGAAAACTGGATATCCATAAGCAGAAAAATAAAACTAGACCCCCTATCTCTCACCATAAACATTACCCCAGTTTAATGACATTATACTGGTTCCAGGAAAAAAGCACTTCTTCAAAGAACAAAATGATACTTAAAAATTATTACAAAGAGTATGCAAAGAGAACAGATGGCACCTTTTGAAAGTTTTTGTGAACACCATCAAAAAGCTGAGACACTTCTGTACATAAAAATGCATGTCAGTATGTGATGAGGAAAAACTAGCAATTCAGTGGCTCCCAGAAGAATTTATGAGCTAAAAAGAGGTCTTCAGATTTAGAAGGACAAAGTTCTAAAGCCAGGCAACAGAAGGTCAAGGCTGTAGGGAGCCATGATCACACCACTGCACTCCACCAGTCTGGGCGACAGAGCAAGACTCCATCTCAAAAAAGGCAAAAGAAAAAAAGCCAGGCAAATAAGTGTGCCCTGAATCCTGGTAACAGTGCTGGGGGCAGAGTGGTTTCGCACATGGGGAGAGACGACTTTGGCTCTGTCTGATAGACACTTTTTACCTAGCACTGGTGTGTGGATTTCCCAGCTTGTAGTACAGTTTGTCACAAATGTTCAAAACTAGAGTGTTTATCTAAAACAATAAAATGAAAATAAATTTTAAAATATCTGCATTCTAAACAGACATGAATACAATTCTTACCATTCTTGTAATTTAACTGAAACTGCATGTGCTGTTTATTACTTGAGGCGTTCCTCTCACCTTAATATGTGATGCATTGATGTAACCAGTGTTGTTTTCTTTAGTTGGGACCAACTCCACTCTCGCATCGTCATAAGGAAGAACATCTTGGAATCGATTTCTTTCTGCATTTTCAGGGAGTCGTGCTGTTGAGCACTCCCCATCAACTAGCCGTTTCTTAAGAATTCTTTCATATTCTGTGAATACCATTCCTTGTTCTAATCGTTGTTCCAGAATTTTACACTATAAAACAGAATATGTGGAATAACATGAATACAGCCACATGTCGTGGCTACCTTTTGACTGTATATTTGAAATCTTGTTTTCTGCTTCACACCTAGCACTGTCTAATATTGAAAATTCTAGGTTGGGCACGGTGGCTCATGCCTGTAATCCCAGCACTTTGGGAGGCCAAGGAGGGAGGATCACTTGAGCCTAAGAGTTCAGGACCAGCCTGAGCAACACAGTGAGACCCTGTCTCTGCAAAAAATTAAAAAATGAGCCAGGTGTGGTGGTGCATGCCTGTGGTCCCAGCTACTTGGGAGGATGAGGCAAGAGGACTACTTGAGTCCAGGAGGTTGAGGCTGCAGTGAACCGTGAGGTTCACTATCTCAAAAAAATCAAAACAAATAAAAACAAAAATAAAATTCTAGGTGAAAACAAAGTTAAAATTTTAACAAGTCACAACAACAAGAATTAAAAGAACAAAAGACAATCATTTTGGTGAGAAATATAATGCAAAGTTTTGTTTAAAGTTGAAAATTGGCCTAAAGAAATTTGTTGAATTCATTTTCTCTAGATCTGTGGTCAATTTTGTGACCCCCAATAGATGGAATTCTCCTGGGGAACAGTAAATCTAGGGGACGGATAATGAGTTCCAACATCTATGAACACGTGTTTTCATTTTATATCATACGACATATAAAAGACTAAAGCAGTAGGAAATGTTGGAAACTACCTCCAGGATCCCGTTGTAAAGCAAATGTATGCATATCTGATTTTGATGTAATAAAAACTCTTAGAAAATACACCTCAGGCACAAAAGGAAGTTTTGAAAAATTGAGAAACTACTCTCGAGATAAACTTTCAATATAATAAAAGTCAGTGTCTACTGTCTTTCCTATGTATGCTCCTGTATTTTTGTAGATTTCTTCTCACTTTAAGGCCATCAAAATCAAGACTGCCCCAAAAGGCCAAGAGAAGGTAAAAAAGAACACTGAGAAACAAACAAAAAATCAGCATTCAAACCTGAAATTATCTATAGACATTAGCTATACATTTGCCCCAATTTTGAGGACCATATTACAAAATTCCTTAACAATCATTTATTATTAAATTGCGTTAGAAAATTCACCAAAATCTCATGAAGGCATCTGCATAGTATTTACCGGTTGTTCCAGAGAAGGCGCAAAGCCCCGTGTGTCCCATACGTACCCTTTCATCATTTGTTGCTCTGGTAGCCACTTCCTTTCCTTCATCAGGCAGAGGCACTCGAGATAGGGAGAGTCCGTTTAGGGCAGCCAGTTTAAGAGGACCAATTTTTTTTGCATCTACTCGAGTCTTTTTCATTCCCTGTAAAAGAATTTATATGTATATATGAAACATACACAAATACAACCCCTGTGAAAAGAAATGTCAATGCACTGAAGACCAGGAACACACAAAGGGAGTGTTCTCCTTTCACAATAAACCCAGAAAGATTACACTCCTTCACACACCACTTGTTTACCAAACATTAGTAGGAAGACGTTCCTTTCAAGGCCAAAGCCCTGATAAGTCTTCCAGATAGAAGGTTTTGAAACACGATTGGTTACAAAGTTCTGTTGTAATGAAAGGTGAGGCTCCAGGCAGACCGCATTCCTTTTAAAACAAGATAGACATAAAAAATCAGCTGACGTCCAAAAAAAAAAAAAAAAAGCTTTAAATGCAATCACTTGACTATAATAAGCTTTTATTGTTTGTTTTTTTGTTTTGTTTTTGTTTTTGTTTTTTTGAGACAGGGTCTTCACTCTGTCACCCAGGCTGGATGGAATGCAGTGGCACCATCCTAGCTCACTGCAGCCTCAACCTCTAGTCTCAAACAATCCCACCTGAACCTCCCGAGTACCTGGGAATACCAGCACATGCCACCATGCCCAACTAATCTCTGTGTTTTTGGTAGAGATGGGGTCTCACTATGTTGCCCAGGCTGGTCTCGAACTCCCAAACTTAAGCAATCCTCCTGTGGTGGCCTCCCAAAGTGCTCGAGATTACAGGCATGTGCCACCATGCCTGGCCAGCTTTTATAATTTTTAAAATATATAAATTCTTTAAGTCATTCTGAAAAAATTAAATGCTTTCTGCAGCAGCCCCCTTTGTGTGTTGAAGCTCCCTCCTCATATGCTACTCTGCGTTCTAGCGTGGACTTGGATGACCCGGGTTAGATCACGCTACCTCTCAGAATGGCTACATTTTTAAACAAGGAAAATAAAACAGAGCTAAAATCTCCATCATGACACCAGGAGGACAGGACAGAACAGAAGGCATCAACAAAATCTTATCTCCTGAAATCAGGTGCTTCCTAAAGTTATTATTAGAGCATGATTTTCCTCTCTGAGAATAATAAGCATAAGAACGCTAAATTGACCAGGCGCGGGGGCTCACACCTGTAATCCTAGCATTTTGGGAGGCCAAGGCAAGCGGATCATGAGGTCAGGAGATTGAGACCATCTTGGCCAACAGGGTGAAACCCCATCTCTACTAAAAATACAAAAATTAGCTGAGCAGCGTGGCGTATGCCTGTAGTCCCAGCTACTAGGGAGGCTGAGGCAGGAGAATGGCTTGAACCCGGGAGGCGGAGATTACAGTGAGCTGAGATCATGCCACTGCACTCCAGCCTGGGGGCAGAGTGAGACTCCGTCTCAAAAAACAAATGCTAAGTTTCGTTGGATATACTGCACTTCCTTGGAAGACATCAACATAATGAGTAGCCCCAACTGGAAAAAAATCGTTCTGCCCTGTAAACAAAATCAGTGTTACTCCAGCTCTCTCAACCTGTAACAGGCCAGGAAGCCCCATGATAATGGCGCAAGAACAGAGGGAAAAGGCATCTTGGTAAGGGGAAAAAATCCTAAAAGATTGCTGCTGTAATTGGAGACTATGATTGGTACCTAACTCAAAAAGCTAAGTGGATTAATTTTTAATTTTATAATTCATATTTGATAATGAGCTCCCCACATAATGCAGTCTAGCCTAGAAACAGCAGAGACCTGGGTTCACATGTGGCCTCTAACTGACCAACTTCTTTCAGGCTTCCTCTGTAAGCCTCACCTAGACAGAAAGAGACAGATACACTCAGACACAGGCATACAGACTAAAAAGTTCCTGCTTAGGCTGAAATTTAATGGTTCTAACGTGCAGAAAACAGTGATGTGCTGGTAATATTTAACACTGGCTCTTGGAAGGAAGTTTTGATTGGTGTTTGCCCATATCCATGGTGTAAATACTCCCATCACAGCCAATTTCAAACTGTTAATGTCACATCAGTTGGCTCACAAGATTCCTGAAAATTTAAGTCGGCTCTTGCCAGCTAATACGAGCTAGCTCCCGCACTTCTCTGCCTGAAAATGACTCAAAATATCCCACACTGGGACACGCTGGATAAAGTTGATTGGCTGTGAGGTCAGTTCAAAGCCAGTATTGGAAGAATGTTGTATGTAGTCAAAACTAGCCTTGAATATGCCTTAATTAGCCCTTAGAATATAAGCATAGGATTTTAATGCATACCCTGCACAGTGATTTCTTATGTGAGAACCACTGCACTAAAGGGTACAACAAAAAGAAAATCTTTATGTAGATGTATAAGCACCCAAACCAGTCTGCCTTTAAGATAACAATCAGGTCGCTGGAGGTGGAGATGGGTGGAGAATTCTAAAATCATTCCTACTTGTCTGCAGTTTATTTCACTGTTTTTAATACTAAACCTCCATAACCTTAATTCACATTAGGAAATTTGTTGTAACGATTAAGATAATGGCAACCCCATGTTACTATGAAAGGTCAGAGGAGACAACAGGGGACTGGCCTCTTCCACTCTTGAAAACCATTAAGTTCAATGTATGATGCCACCTCACAGTAATGTTAATATTGACTAAGCTCTTTCAATGTGCCAGAACCTCATTTTATTCCCCCAACAATTCTCTGGGGTCCTCTCATTGACAAACGTAAAAGCTGAGTCACAGAGAGATTAAATAGCTTGTCTGAGGCCACATGGCTGCCTCTTTTACAAGGTAATCAGTGTCAAAACAAATAAAAGCAAATCTTTGGTTAAAATCAGTTATGCTGAATCATATAATTCAGGAGGCATTTTTTCATGCCTAACTGCATGTGGGACATAATGCCATGAAGCAGGCAGAGCAGGGATGACCGTCCTCGTGATCTGAGGTTATCTGATGTGGAAGCTGAGGTTCTGACGCATGAAGGGTCCTGACCGTGTCACCAAGAACTAACAAATGGCAGGCTCTAGACTCAGCCCCAAGGTTCTTAACTCGTAGGACCTCTGCTCTTTCCTCGTGACCACAGTTGCCATACCCATTCTTTAAGTAGAATCCTGTAAGCAAAAAGGACCAAAACCATAATCCAATCACATAATTTTACTACTATTGTGGTCTTAAAAGTCAATGGGAGAGAAAAGTTCTTTTAAGAGAACCAAATTGATCAACGTCCTCAGATTTAACTGAACCTACCAGACCCCATTCAAAACATACAGGGATAAAATAGGCCTGAGTACTTAGCTGTACTCAAATAGCATTTGCGGAAAGTACTTGAGTCACCATAAAAACAGACAGTTCTTAATGCAATGGGAAGGGTGTGAAGTATAAAAGGACTCTGTCCAGCTGGCTCCGGGATTCAGGTGGAGTTACTTTGGAAAATCTACCCACATCTTATCCCTGAATCACTGCTCCCTACACTCTTAAATCTGTGTCCGCTGAAGGCATTGACCTTTACTGTTCAGGTACGTGAGTCATGTTGTACACTTGTGAAAAACTTAAAAATCAACTTCAAATTCAAACCCAAAACTTACTAAAAGAAAGCAAATTTAGGCCAGGTGTGGTGGCTCACACCTGTAATCCCAGCACTTTGGGAGGCTGAGGCAGGCAGATCACGAGGTCACGAGATGGAGACCATCCTGGCTAACACGGTGAAACCCCGTCTCTACTAAAAATATAAAAAATTAGCTGGGTATGGTGGCGGGTGCCTATATTCCCAGCTACTCGTGAGGCTGAGGCAGGGGAATCGCTTGAACCCGGGAGGCAGAGGAGGCAGTGAGGCGAGATCGCACCACTGCACTCCAGCCTGGGCAACAGATCAAGACTCTTCTCAAAAGAAAAAAAAAAAGCAAATTTAAATCTATGGTACTTTTTTTGTTAAGTAGGTACATTAATCTCTTTCATAAGCACTATAATAGTGTGGGTTTTTTCCTGTTTAGCAAGATGTTTGCAGCATCTTAAAGGATCTCATACACTAGGCCAGAACCACACTTGAAATGAGCCCTCCTGTCTGAGTTTGCAATTTAGCAGCGATGTGGGGAGGAGAACCCTAGTTGCCAAGACACTGGAAGCCAATGGGAGATAGGATGGAGGCCCTAATTAAGTTAGCCTGGATCAAGTGCGGGGCATGAGGAGTGGAGATGTGGGCCAGGAAAAGCTGGAAGCCTGAGCACTGCAACAAAATAACTTCGGGTGGACACACTTCATCACAAGGCCACAAATGCTTAGTCCCAGGTTGAGGACGGAGTTTAAAAGTTTCAGTGAAAGACAGACTAGCAAGGCTTCAACAGATAATTATGACTTAATAGAATATATACAGTATACTTCAATGCAGAACATACATTGACAATGTAGATGATAACAGAACGGGCTGCTAAGTATGGGTTTAAAATTCCAGTTCAGTCACTCACTAGTCATGTGACCTTGAAAAGTTAGTTAATATCTAAGTCTGTTTCTTCAACTGTAAAACAGGCATAACAATAGGCTTACTGTAAATAGGCCAGAAAAGTAGAGGAAATGCTTGGCCCATGGTAAATGCTCCAAGGATGGCAGCTAGAGATGATGCTATTATGCTTTTTTATATTTTGCTTCAAAGTAGGTAAAAAGTGCTTAATTCATATTTATTTATTAGGCTGAATATTAAAGAACTGCATCTTCTACAAGGGACTTTCCTTAGATTCTCAGTTGAATTCATCTTTCTTTTAAATTTAAGAAACCTGGACGTCTCAGGATTTGCCTTGACCAAGTGCCACCTTCCCAACTCCAGGATCACTCTGGAGAATCACAGCCAAGATATGTAAGCTATATCCACACACACTCCAACCTGGAGAATTATATTAGGATTGGGAACACTTTCCTGGATGCTTTTCTCAGGTATCTCTTCAACAAACTAAACAAATGCACTCCTGGGGTGCCGCATCACCCACAGTATTTTTAATGGGTGGCTAAAGCAATCCTGGCTAAAGTCATGAAACCTTAACTGTCTTTCCCTTAACACTGCGTTACTAAAACCTTTCATCTTTTCCATTCCTTTCGACAAAGCCCTGTGAATTTACCTTTTCACTTCATCTATAATAATCTCCAGTAAAACCACTAAAATTCAAGTGGATCCCCATGATTTCCATATGTAAATTTCAATGTGTTCAAAATTAGACAAAAAGACAGTGACATGGGGGAATGAAGAACGTTAGAAGAACAAGAGGAGCTGAAAAACACGGGACGTGATGAGTGAAAGAACCGCCAGGGCGAAGGCGCAGTCCCCTGGCCGGGCACTGCTCGCTGCGTGGCTTACCCCCAGGGGCGGGAGCCCTTCCACGATGTTCTTCTTCCCAGAGAGGAGGTCTGACACCGGCCTCTTCTTCAGGGAGTCCCTCCGGGCTCGGTAGCGGCCAGACGTGGTGAGGTCGGACTCCGACATGGAGGGCGTCAGCAGCCCGTCTCTCCAGGGCCGCTGGGCCTCTGCGGTCGTGCGGACGGGACTGCTGTCCATCATCCTCTTCTCCGAGTCCGGGACGTGGGCCTTGGGCTCGAGGATGTGCAGGGGCCCGGCGAGCAGGGCGCGAGGGCAGCCAGGTGGGTCCTGGGTCAGGCCAGGCCGGGGCTCGCGCGCACGTCCAGGGGGCGCCCGGGCCCCGCTCTCCTCCTCGAAGTCCTCGTCCTCTTCCTCCTCGCTGCTGTGGATCAGCATGGTGGCGTCTGACAGGGACTTCTCATGGCCGTATCTCAAACCCTCCGCCGCCTCCTGCCCTTCCCGCTTCGTTCTCTCGGTGAAAACGCTGGGCTGGGAGCCCGCCGAGAGGGCTCGCGGCACCACCTCCGCCGCCGACGCGGACAGCGTCCGCTCCTTGAGCCGCAGGCCCTCCAGGCAGTGGCTGAGCCCGGCCACCTCGATGCTGTTCCGCTTGTGCAGCTGTGCGTGGCGCGCGGCGGTGAGGGGCTCGCTGACTTCCTGCAGCGAGTGCGCCACGGGCAAGCTGTCCTCCTGGAACGTCTGCACCGAGTGGTGCACGCGCCGCGTGATGAGGTCGGGGTTGCTACTGCTGATGTACAAGTGGCGGGACAGGTCGGGCGTGCTGTTGGCTGGCCTGGGGGGCGGGTAGGGTGGGGGTGGCCGGTACACCTGCGTCCGCATGATGTTGGGGGCCGGGTAGTCCTGCGCCTGCAGCTGCGCGTTCGTCAGCTCGGGCACGCTGACCGCGCCCACCACGGGCCGCCGCTCGGCGGGGTAGGGGTAGGGAGACGGGCTGTGGAAGCTGTAGCTCAGGCTGAACGGGCAGTGCGCCGTCGGCGGCGAGGGGAGCTGCGCGTGCTCGCGGATCTCGGGCTGGCTGTAGACCAGCGCCGCGGGCCTGCTGTAGGCGTACGAGCTGCCGATGTTGAGGTTTCGCAGCGAGTGGCTCTGCCGTTCCGCATGCACCAGGCCCCTGTTGAGCTGCTTCATCACAGTCTCATAGTCTGGGGTGGGGCGGTAGGACGGGGGTATCAGGGCGCTGTGCCGATGGGATGGGACGTAGTCAGGCCTCATGACGTCACTCCCGGTGATGCTTGGGTTGGACGACATCGGCGAGGGCTGCAAGTAGGGCTGAGGATTATTTAAGGAGTTGGTGCTGTGTGCGCTGTAGACACTGCCGTTACGAATCCGACCATTGAGGTCAATCTGGGCTCTATCCAAGCTTGTCTGAGAGTGACAGTAGTATCCGTTCTGGTTGGGCACAAAGAGGTTATCTAGAAAAAGAATAAGTTCAAAATGAGATTTTTTTTAATTGGACTAATTACTCCAACCAAATATTGAGATCGGCCCTTACCTCTGAGGACATTTGAACACAGCTTGTAAAAATCCATGCTAAAATGACCTAGCTTTAGCCACACTATCTGAGTGACCCTGGGAGCTTCGGCTTCCTCATCTACAGGATGGGGATGGCTCTGCCTACTTAAGGGGTGGCATTCATTGGGTGACAAAGTAAGACCCTGTCTTAAACCACACACACAGCAGACTAGCAGACTTTTTGGTACTCTGGGGAAGTTGAGGCAGAGATACCATTCAAGGCACTGGGCTGGGGACTCTTTCTTCCCTGGGTAGGGATGTGGCCTTGCTGCTGCTGAGCCAGTTCAAGCACCGACTGTCTGTAAGCATTTTCTTAACTGGAATTTTTGATTGTTCTTCCCAAATGAATACACAAGCTTCGACTGTAAAAGGGTAATGGTATAGCAGGATCTGAGCTTCTCTGGTCCAACAGTGTCACCAGCAGCCACACAGCCCATAAAGTGTCCAGAGCCAAGAGGAGTCACATTAAAACAGCTGCAGCTGCCCCCTGCCCTGGCTCCCATGTTTCAGGAAGATCCAGACCTGCGGCTAACAGAATCAGTTTAACCTAATCTTACAATAGCTATGCATGTGTCCCTGCCCAGGGATGACAGGGGCCATGTTTCTTCTAGTCAATTTGTAGCTCACCTGCCTTCTGTTACTGAGGATGATTTCTAACCCTAGATGATTTCTAACACTCAGCAGCCAACTCCTTCAAATAACAATTTCCTCTCAAAGGCATTATTTGTGCTTCAAAATCTCCATAGTGATTTAAGTGATACTTAATATGCCACAATCCGGTAGGTACACTTTATTCTGGTGGCACATAAGGCTGTGAGGAAATAGCATTCAAACCTCCATGGTATTCTTCTGCGGACACACAGCACTTCCTTGTCACTGTGCTTTCCTTGTCTATGCAAAGCTTGGTCGTGGCTCCATCTCTGCAATCCCACTTTTCTCACTGCTGTCACAACTCGGGCCCCTACCCCAGGCTTGTCTGAACTAGCTCTATAGCCACCTAGTCTCCCTGCTTCTGCACCCCACAAACCATCTAGCCATTTATGGGACTGTTATGTGGAAAAGGCAATACTGAGAATAGAAGGGGAAAAAGACGGTTGGAATACAGGCAAGAAAAGGGGAAAGGTATGCATGAAATCACCATTAATTCAAGGAAGCGAGAAGAGATAAAGGGTTACAGGAGTCCAGAGGAAGGAATGGTCATTTCCAGCCTGGGTGGGGTTGATGGGGACAAGGAAGAGAGAACCAAGAACCACCTCGCAGAAGATATGGCAGTTAAGGGGACTTGAGGGGTAAGTGGGTGAGGTGGGCATGTCCAGCTTCCATCAGAAGTGAGGTCTCTCAACCTCTCAGAGCAGGCAGGATTATGCCTCCTCACCCCTTGATACCAGGCACAGCAATGTGACTAGTAATGGTCAAGGGAAAGTGTACAGAGAGTTAAAAGCCAGCTTCCAGGCTCTCTTCCAACTGCAACACTGACCAACAAACAACACTGCAGAGAGAAGAGGCTCTCCAGCTCAAGCTCCTACCACAGACTCACAGGGGGCAGAGCCCTCCTGCTAGTGCAGTGTGCAATGGACAGGTGACCCTTACTATTACTTCCCTGAGAGTTTGGAATAGAGTATTTTCTCAGCACAGCATAGCCCTGCCTATCCGGTCTGGATGGTATGTGAACAGAAGGGTGCATGAGGTAAGGGCACCTGGGGGTGCAGAGCAGCACTGGCAAAGCCAGGGAGCACCCCCGGGCAAGATGGGGTGGCTGGAGTGTCAGATAGCTACAGAGGAGTAAAATAACTCAGGAAGTAAGGTTGGAAGAGCAGGCTCAGTGAATATTGTGTGAAGTCTCGAACACTAGGCAAAAGAATGATCCTGTAGCCGGGGGCGGTGGCTTATGCCTGTAACACCAGCACTTTGGGAGGTGAGGCGGGCAGATCACCTGAGGTTGGGAGTTCAAGACCAGCCTGACCAACATAGAGAAACCCCATCTCTACTAAAAATACAAAATTAGCTGGGCGTGGTGGCGTGCCTGTAATCCCAGCTACTTGGGAGGCTGGGGCAGGAAAATCACTGGAACCCAGGAGGTAGAGGTTGCAGTGAGCTAAAATCACACCACTGCACTCTAGCCTGGGCAATATAAGCGAAACTCTGTCTCCGAAAAGAAAAGAAAAGAAAAGAAAAAAAGAAAAGTTAAATGTGGATGAGACCCCTGGGAAGCTCACAGAGGGAGGGAAGAAGCCACAGGACAGACCTGCAGGGCACACCAAACAATACTGATGGGAAGGAGGAGGGAAAAACCCAGCATGCCAGAAGGAGAGTTTCCAGAAGGAACAAAGGCTTGAACGTGATGGTGAGGGGATGTGGGGGTGCTGGGAGCCTTGGAGAGGGCCGCTTTAACAGAGTGGCAAAGGCAGAGGAGTGGGCAGTAACCAGCAAGCAGAAGCAGCACACAGAGAGTACTCTTAGAAGTCAGTGAGAAAGGCCTGGCGTGGTGGCTCACGCCTGTAATCCCAGCACTTTGGGAGGCTGAAGTGGGCGGATCACGAGGTCAGGAGATCGAGACCACCCTGGCTAACACAGTGAAACCCCGTCTCTACTAAAAATACAAAAAAATAGCCGGGTGTGGTGGCGGGGGCCTGTAGTCCCAGCTACTCGGGAGGCTGAGGCAGGAAAACGGTGTGAACCTGGGAGGCGGAGCTTGCAGTGAGCCGAGACCCCACCACTGCACTCCAGCCTGGGTGACAGAGCGAGACTCTGTCTCAAAAAAAAAGAAGTCAGTGAGAAAGGAAAGCAGATCGCTCAAACCATCACTTAAAGCGAGGAGAACAAACAATGTTAGGATGTTTATAGACGGAGGAAAGAGAATGAATGGCGAAATGAGACAATGCAGAGGACAGCCAGGTCCTGGAAGTGGGAGGGGCCAGGATTGCAAGTACCAGACAAGGGCAGGGCGCGAGAGGGAGGAAATAGAAGAACATGGTAAGGGGGCCACTCTCGGGCTCTACATCCAAAGCCCTGCTCCCTACTACCCACCTCACTGCATGAAAACGCTCATCTTTACACCAGGGCCGACACAAACAATAGTCACATCCCACCTTCTGGTCCCTTCATGCATCACTCCCTACTAGTTCCTTACCCAAGAGGGAACCTGGACCACTCTACTCTCCAAACACGCACTGCTTCATTCTGTGCATGGCGTTCACTATCCCCAAAACTAGGAACAGCAACCCCAGTCAAGTCCCTGTCTTTCTACCTGCCGAAATCCACCCATCTTTTCAGATACAGAAAGTTCTTCTCAATCTCCCCAATGTGATGAGTCTCTCTTCCATTGAGAAGCATGGTAATTGCACATGCTGTCTCAGAAAAACTATCATATTCAAGTTATTTGTGCCAGGAGTGGTGGCTCAGGCCTATAATCCCAGCACTTAGAAAGGTAGAGGCAGGAGGACAGCCTGGGCCCAGGAGATTGAGACCAGCCTGAACAATATAGCAAGACCCCATTCTCCACAAAAAGGGGTTCAGGGGGAGAAAGACAAAGTTATTTGTGCACCTGTCTTATCTTCAACTATCAGATTCTAAGTTTTTTTTTTTATTTTTTATTTTATTTGAGATAGTCTCCCTCTATCATCCAGGCTGGAGTGCAGTGGTGCAGTCTTGGCTCACTGTAACCTCCACCCCCACCTTGGGCTTAAGCAATTCTCCCACCTCAGCCTCCTGAGTAGCCAGGACCACAGGTGCATACCACCAGGCCCAGCTTTTTTTGTTTGTTTGTTTGTTTGTTTTTGATAGAAACTGGGTCTGGCCCTGTGGCCCAGGCTGAAGATAAGCTTCTTAAGATGTGGAAATACTCATCTGCATAAACCTCCTTAGCATTTGGTATAGCCCCACTGCTTAAACTTCAGTTTGGGAGTTTGTTACAAATACAATTCCTTATACTTCTCAAGTGAAAACTGCAGTAGTCACACGTTTAACTTTTACAATAGGAAAGCCTCTGGCAGGGGAAGAAAAGTAACCCTGGGAATTCTTTGTCAGACAGTAAAGAAGCACTTAAAGGCTAATAGAGTGGTGGTAAAAGGACATAGGAACTAGCTTGATAGTTTCCCATTGGCCAAATTTGAGATCAGTGGAGCATCAAAATTTGATACTGCATTTTTTTACATATATTCAAGAACCCAAATATATGTGGTGGCTCACACCTGTAATCCCAGCAATCTGGGAGGCTGAGGGGGGGCGGATCACCTGAGGTCAGGAGTTTGAGACCAGTCTGGCCAACATGGCGAAATCCCATCTCTACTAAAAATTACAAAAATTAGCCAGGCATGGTGGCGCACCTGTAGTCCCAGCTACTTGGGAAGCTGAGGCACCAGAATCGCTTGAATCTGGTAGGTGGATGTTGCAGTGAGCTGAGACACGCCACTGCACTCTAGCCTGGGTGACAGATTGAGACTTTGTCTCAAAAAAACAAAAAAACAAACAAAAAAACCCTGAATGTATTGGCTTCTTTTATGAATCCAGGATAGCTATTATCATGATGCAATTTGGGGTGCAACTTCAGCCAAAAACTGTCCAGGCTTCACAATCTCCAAGCATTCACAGATTTATCCATAGTAATAACTATGTAAGGCATGGCAGAAACAATGTACTTTACCTTGGGAAGAAGCATATGGTTCTGTATAATGTCCATTATAGTGTAGCTGTGGTGGGGGAGGCATCACGTAGGGCTGGGGTTTAGGCTAAGAAATGGAGAGTTGGACACAGGGTTAAAACACATTGCTTATGTAATACAGGTAAAGTTATTATCCACTGGATTCTTTCTGTTAAAAAAAAACTTCTGAAGGAATTAAATATATTATATATGGAAAATAAACATGAAGACACAGTAGTTCTTATCATATCTAGCATTTTCTATGTTTCCCCAAATGGCAATGCCAAGCCCTATGACTGATACCAAGGATATTAGGCTCCACAAGAAAATCTGCATCTAAAAAGCTAAGAGGAAGAAGGAATAGATACAGATTTCCTTGTATAAACATTTGAACATAAGAAGCTTATATGTATTATAATCAATCTTATTAAAGTCATCTAATATTTTAAATATATACCAACTTAGGATTACTCTTGGCCAACAGTCTAAGTTCTTAATATTAAGGTCAGACCTAATATTCAAATATGTATAATATAATAATATAAATACTAGATTGGACCTATGGGAAAAAAATCACCATTTCTTTGGTTACAAATGATGAAAGATCAATACACTTTTATGGTTCAAACTCAAAATTAACAGTATTAAAAGCATATTTTATTAAGGAAAAACCACTAAAATATAAAAGCAATCATATTTTCCTTGTTTCTTACCAGAGACATCCTTGAAGAAGACCTCCTCCTGATTGGGTTCACTGTGACAGTCTGAGTTTGCCTATAAAATAGGATGTCTCTGAGAAGAGCACATACACACTGTCTCTTAAATTCTACCAAAACAAGATATAGGAATGTAAAATAATAAATCTTCTAAGGCAAAAAAAAAAAAAAAAGACAAGCTATCTAAGTCATGAAGTCAGAGAAAAGAAGGGAGTTTTTTTTTTTAACCAAAAAAAAAAAAAAAATACCTGGGTGTGGTGGTATGCGCCTGTTTCTCTCTCAGTCCTTTCCTGCTACCCCAACCCCTCAACCTGCCCTGTGGTTTCAGGCTCCCCACACAGTGTCATCACCTGGACCCACAAAGGGATCAGAGCATCTTTGCCAGGCCCATCCAAGTAAACCTTTGGATTAGCCATAAGCAGTGGGGAAAAAGACAAGGCTGTATCACCCACACACTTGCTGCAGGAAAAGTGGGATTCAGTGCAAATGAAATGTGTTTCTCCTGTGCGCTGGGGAGCCCTGGATCTCTCCACTAACCTTCCTCCTGGGGAACCATCCACTGTCAAACCAGAAGCCTCATTCAAGCAGTAAGAACTGCCTTTAATTAAAAGTCTGTTAACCACAGACTACAAACATAATAAAGAAATGAATTTAGAATTTTAGTGACAAGAAACTACATTTCCAAGTGCAGTAAGCACGCTCCTGTAGTCCCAGCCTCTTGGGAGCATCTTGGGCCCAGGAGTTCAAGACCAGCCCAGACAACATAGCAAGACCCCATCTTTTAAAAAACTCAAATATAAAAAAAATTTCAAACATATATATTTGTAAAATCTACATTTCCTCTAAGGAACCAAGGGAAAGCAAGGCACAAGATTTGGTTCAGTAAGCCGATGGTAAACCCATTTACCTTTCTTTGCAAGAAATTTCTGATTTGTTTTGAATATATTTTTTAAAAAACACCTAAGGCCAGGTACTGTGGCTCACACCTGTAATCCCAAACTTTCAGAGGACAAGGCAGGTGGATCACCTGGAGTCAGGAGTTTGAGACCAGCCTGGCCAACATGGTGAAACCTCGTCTCTACTGAAAATACAAAAACTAGCTGGGAGTGGTGGTGGGTACCTATAATCCCAGCTACTCGGGAGTCTGAGGCAGGGGAGTCACTTGAACCCAGGAGGCAGAGGTTGCGGTGAGCTGAGATTGCGCCATTGCACTCCAGCCTGGGCAACAAGAGCGAGATTCCAGTCAAAAAAAAAAAAGGACCTAAATGTATTAGGGAGTGCTGACGAATACTTATCTGATAATGTGAGATTTTAAACTATTCGCATGGCAAGTTCTATGTTTAAATAAACAATAAGGTAAAAAAAGGAACAAGAAACAGAAAAGCCCATTTGTAACTACTGTTTTTAAATAAAGGCAAGATTTTTTTTTCTTCTGTGTGGTCAGTTTTACTGCAAGATCTGGGAACCTACACACATTGAATTCTTGGCTTTATTGATGACATGTAGTTTGTCAAAGCACTTTTTCTTAGACCTTTTACCACCTATTCCTGGTTCATGTACTTATGTAACCCATAATTACTGATTACAAAAATATTCTGTGACCTTTGGTTACAGTGTTCTAAGGACTAATTACTAGAAAATCCATCATGACAAAGTGAATATTCAATCCATTTAAGCAAATTTACCATAATATCAAGCCTCACGTCTCATAAATTAACATTACTCTTAACACTCTGAAAACTAGTATCTTATATTCAAAAACCCTGAATATTAGCTTATTTTTATAAGACTCTTGAGATAAAAAGAAAACCAGTACATACTAGTTTTAACATCAGGTGATTACAACTGCTTTTACTAGCTTTTATAAATAATTCATATTCTTTGTTATTGGAAAGTATTCAGGCTGTTAATGAAAAATAAATGTCTCTTTTCCAAAAGATGTTCCATTCTTCCAGTACTTATTTTGGTGACACAAGTCTGCGTGGTGTGTCTGGTTTTTTTTTAAAAAAAAAAACAAATACTCCTTAACTGCACATTAATATATTCCTTAAAATTAGTACCCACAAATTAGCTGGATGTGGTGGCAGGTGTCTGTAATCTCAGCTACTCAGGAGGCTGGGGCAGGAGAATCGCTTGAACCAAAGGGGTGGAGGTTGCAGTGAGCCGAAATCACGCCACTGCACTCCAGCCTGGGAGACAGAGTAAGACTCCGTCTCAAAAAAAAAAAAAAAAGATAGTACCCAGAATTTGAAGACACCGCATTTTTGCAGCCTTGAAATTTACTTTGGTTATTCTTCACTGTCAGGACTAGGTTTAGGCAAACTGGGTCCTCTGAATATGTGTTCAGTCTAGCAGAGACTCACTGTCCAGATGGACTGAACTTAAACTTTTAAAGTACTATAAATTCACAAGGGTTGCCGACAGAATTCTCTGTCAACAAACTCCAACAACATGTCTATAATTGCCCAGCCTGGGGCAAAAATAAAACACAAAACCCAAGGATGCAGAGCTTCAGCACATGGGCGGCCCTCCCACACTGATAGCTATCTTGGCACTCTTGCTGGCAGCACCCAGTGTGGAGGCGAACACTGCCCACTGTAGTAGCCAGCTCTACTAACAAAACAAACTACAAAAGCATGTACCTGCCAAAGTGCTTGACCCAGGCAGCCGCACCATCAGTTCTAATAGTCTAACCTTCTCTTTCTTCTTGGCGTTGTTCTAATAAATGCAGTTTACTCCGAGACCAGCTATCCTCAACTTGGCATACAAGAGAAAACCATTTAACTATTGGTTGTGGTTTCCAAACTTTTTGGGCAGTTACTATGTTGATGGGTACTGCTAAATAACTGAGAAGAAATCACTAGAATCTGTGCACCAAAGAAGACAAAATAAAAATTAAAAAGGCTGAGCCAGGCATGGTGGCGTATGCCTGTGTAGTCCCAGCAACTTGGGAAGCTGAGGCAGGAGGATCCCTTGAATCCAGGAGTTCATGGCTGTAGTGCACTATGATCACATCTGTGAATTCCCACCATATTCCACCTGGGAAACTGAGACACTAGGACCTTGTGTCTTTAAAAAAAAAAAGAAAAAGAAAAAAGGCTGCCAGCCCAAGTAAAATCAATATTATGTATTGAAACTGTGCTAAGGACTGTACGTGATTATCTCGTGGAATGTGTACACCAACCCCACAAGGGAGGTCCAGTTATTATCCTGATTTTACAGATAAGGAAAGTGATACGTAGGTTCAGTAAGTTGCTCCTGGTCACATGGCAAACAAGTAGTAGAACCGGCATTTGAACCAGCAGGTCTGTGGGATTCCTGAGTGTATGTGTCTAACAATCATGTGTTCAACCTGCTTCCCGGCCCCAACTAATCTGTAAGCTCCATGGAGGCAAGATGTGGTATCCCTGGTGCCTTTGCTGAGCAAGTGAATGACTAACAAGTGAGGACTAAAGTGATGCTTATTACTAAGCATTTACAGCTGAGCTTATATTTCTAAGCCTCGTCTGAATTTTGCTTTTTAAGTTTCCTTTCTTATATGACGAAAGGGAGTTAAGATTTTGACAAACAAAAAAAATGCCATTGATAGCTCATAAACTAATAGATAGTTCAAGGAATAGATTCCTTCCTGTAATCCCAGGTACTTAGGAGGCTGAGATGTAAGGATCACTTGAGGCCAGGGGTTTATGACCAGCCTGGGCAACATAGCAAGACCCCATCTCTAAAAAACTAAAAAAAAAAAATTAGCCAGGCATGGTGGCACACACTTATAATCCTGGCTACTCCAGAAGCTGAGGGCTGAGGCCACTGGATCCCTTGAGCCCAGGAGTCTGATGTTACAGTGAGCTATGATCACACCACTGCACTCCAACCTGGAAGACAGAGTAAGACCCCATCTCTTAAAAAAAAAAAAATGTGTTAGATGGTGGAAATACCTAGCAAATGTTTGTCTCAATGACTTACCTTTTGAGCTCACTATAGTAAGGGTAAGGAAGAATAAATGCTCTCCTCCCAGCCTACACTTGGGTAGACCAGGGCTACATCCAAGCTGCTTACAGGTCACTGACTTGGCTCTGAGATGCCTGTTCCTATTGTTCACCCCCCTACCAAATCCCACCTTAGGTGCAGCTTCCTGGCATTGTGGGCAGGGAGAGGAACAAAGCCAGCAGAGACCATCTCAGGTAACTGGGAAGGAATACTGATGGAGGGAGAGGCCCTGGCGTCACTTCAGCCCCATGACATGTGTGGTTTTCTTGTTTTTGGAGACGGGGTCTTGCTCTGTCGCCCAGGCTGGAGTGCAGTGGTGTGATCCTGGCTCACTGCAACCTCCACCTCCCAGGCTCAAGTGATTCTCCTGCCTCAGCCTTCCGAGCAGCTGGGATTATAGGCGCCCGCCACCATGTCTGGCTAAGTTTTGCATTTTTAGTAGAGATGGGGTTTCACCATGTTGGCCACGCTAGTCTTGAACTCCTGGCCTCAGATAATCCACCTGCCTCAGCCTCCCAAAGTGCTGGGAACACAGGCATGAATCACCGCGCCCGGCCAACATGTGTGGTTTTCTAGGGCGACACTGACCTCTATCCATATAAGAACCCACTCAGAAAAAGCCGCTGCCTCTCCTCAGCTCCACCAGGGGTCCATGTCCCCATACCCAGAGGTCCCACTGTTTGGCCTTGTGGCTGCTCCTCCACTCCCCTCCCACCTCTTCCTGCCCTGCTCCTTCACATGGATCCATGGGAACTACTGGCTCCTCGCCACACTTCTGGGACTCAGGGGACTGGAATGGGATAGGGGCTGTTCCATCTTCTTCCAGACTTCCTATAGTCTCTTCAAGCCCTGCAGCAGGCCTAGAAGAAGACGGGGTAAATCCTTCCCCTTTCCAGGCAGGGCCTACTCCAGTCAGTCTCCTGATTACAAAAGTCTCCGGAACCAAGGTGGACACTGGCTGCTATGTTCACCGACACCCCTGAGCTGCAGGGAGCACTCACCAGCCATCTCACTGCGCTCAGCGAGCGGCCTGCTGCGGTCTGAAATACAAGTTTCCCTTCTGGAGAAAGT